AAAAAAAAAAAAAAAAAAAAAAAAAAAAAAAAAAAATTCCAAAACTTGCTAAAAGGATAACCTTCCCTAAATTAAAGAACATTTAATTGAGCTAGGTACAGTATAAAGTCCCAACAACCACATAAATTAAATGACAAGTTGCATTTTTGTTACATGTGGACCAAAGTTCAACTCCAACTCCCACATTAACAAGTAGTAACATTTAACCACCATGAGGACCCTCATTAAAGGTACACCAAAGGACCAGCAACAAAAAAGTTTAACAAAAAAGCTCACAAAACTACATCTAATCATGGTATTCTATCTTAGACTAGAATGCAGCTGCATATACTTCATACCAAACCCAGACCTACCAAATCAAGTAAATAAACACAAAAAACATGTGTGTTTGCTTTAAGCAAAAACTGCCGACTAAATTTGCAAGATTCCCACAAGTGATAAAAAGCATGGCAAACCGCGATATTAGGCTTGTAACGGTTTCGATTTCAGAACGGATTAAACAACAAACAAGATTCCAGCATCACAAATTAATCGTTTGGGATTACTTTCGGGCCTTCGCCTGTTACATGACTATAAATTGTAGATGTGTTCGAATTGTAAACAAGTACAACTATCTTCATGTACTGCAATGGAACTCAGGTGGTTGGGTGGTTGCAGCTAGACAAGGAAAAATCATGTGTATCCCATTGGGATAAGTTAATGTTCTGTATTGATATCAAAATGTTGGCCCTTCAATACTGAAGTCTGAAGTACAAAACAGACGCTAATAATTTTGCAGGCATTCACCGTTTCACGTTCGAATGAAACGGCTCTATCATCGTAGTTCCTTACGCATTCATTATTCCGAAACAAACCAATCTAATTTAAAGATTCCATTAGAGTCGTCATCATATTATGTATTCGCACACAATACCACCCTCTGCTAGTCTTCCTAACAATTCGTTCGGTGGTCACTAATAGGAACACTAATAAGTAATAACTAATCCCATAAACATTTGATGCTTCTTTCCAATACAACTTCTTCATTTACTAGAACTAACCAATCAACGAGAAAATGCAGAAGACTAAAACCGAACATCCTAAACAAGAAAAATACTCACACATATAAGGAAAAATAGAAGGAGAAAGAAGGATTCACAGTTTCATCATGTAACAGAAGACACGAGCTGACAAAGTGAATGCCGAGGATACTTTTTACCTCGGCAGAGTTTACAACAACAATATCCAAAGAATATAATCTTTATGTGTCACTAATTCTTTTTTTTCTCATAGAAAGAACATATATATTTAAAATGACAAGGAAAGGAGGAAAGCAAAAGAGACAGCCTTTATTCCCTCTGCCACCACCAATCCACAACAATTAACAACAACAAAAGCAGAAGAAGGACCTATACAATAGAATCACCAAATAATCTTTAACCTTTGGATCCCCACAATTAGATTTAGAAAAAGGGCCATACCGAATATAATCCCATCTCGAAAAATCAATTCATCAGCTCTTAATGAGTTGTACCTTTGGACCTCTTCTTGGCCTCGCTGTAAAGCACAACACCCATTACCGTGATTGCGAACCCCATCATTCCCATCACCGTCACCGGATTTCGAAATATCAAAACCGACACAACGGCCGCCACAGCCGCTTTCGCATTCCCCAGCACCTGCAGAGTCAAAGCGCTCGTGTGCTTTGTCACTAAGAAATTAGTCAAATTGACCAAATACGCCACAGTGGCATTAGCGGCCAATAGGAACACGATGAACCCGTCCTTTCTCCCCTTCTCAATAGTCAATGCCAATACATTCCCCTCAATGTACAGAGTGAATGGCAGCAAGATTACAGCTGCCATTGGAGCCATGTAAAGCAAGAGGTTCATGGAGTGCAGCTTCTCGGCCTCGGAGGTCAAAAGCAGCCCCTGGACCACGGATTTCAGGGCCCGCCCCGCCGTGGACCCGATGCACACAAGGAACCCGAACAAGTGGAACAGGGGCTCGCTGTTGCTGGCCACGACGATGCCAAGCACGACGGGAAGGAGTGCCAGGTAGACCTCGGCCGACTCTTTCTTGCAGGTGATGACGAAGGCGAAGATGGCGGTGAAGAAAGGGGTGGTGGCCCCTACCGCCTGGTTGAAGGAGACGGGGAGGTAGCGGAGGGAGGTATTGCCGCAGACGACGGAGAAGCAGAAAATGGCGCTGAGGGCGAGGATCTTGAGGAGCTGGCGGCGGCTGTGGATGGGCTGGAAGGGGACGACCTCAAGCCACCGGACGGCGAGGAGGCTGTACGCGGCGCAGGAGAGCATGTGGAGCATGGTGAGGAAGATGGGGTAGCGGTAGCCGTAGAAGCTGAGGAGGTACTTGTTGAGGAGGAGGACGCCGATGTTGGAGAGGTACCAGGAGGCGATGATGGCGGCGGTGAGTACGGTGGGGGAGATGAGGGAGGAGTAGGCGTGCTGCCGAATTTCCGCCGTCGGGGTCACCGGAATGTCCAGTACCTGGTCGTTGCTCGGCTCGAACCGGGGGTTGCTGCCCCTTCTCGTCGTCCACGACTGCGCCTCCACCATGGCACTGCAAACACAAAACGCAGGAAAAAAGGTTCGATCTTCGGAGTGTAACTGCTGATTGGCGAGGTTATTGAGTAGGTTTTGGCAATGGGTGCGGAGATTTGAGAGGGATAAGGTAGAGAGAGAGAGTGTGTGTGCGTGTGTGTTTTTGCTCTGAGCTGCGGAGCACTGTGATTTTTGTTAGCAGCCGGGAAGAGATCTGAGCGGGGATAAGATGGGGTGCGTCGCAGGGGATACGGGCCGGGTGGGTTGAATTGGGGTTTGAGCAGATCTGAATGGAGGGTAGTGATTGGGGGATGTGGGGACTGTGTAAAATAGCTGCCGTTGGATGGGAAATTGTTGGATCTGTAGATTTAAATAGTGTGTCATTGATTTATCGTAAGTGGGGGCCATTGGAGTGTCGGTATGTAAATCCAGTGGTACAGTATTGTTAAGATTTTATTTTAGGGAAATACTACCATCCCGTCGGGTGTTTTAACCGTTGGATCATCGATCTTATCTAACTACACGTAAATCTAACGGTTAAAACAACCGACGAGATGGTGCCATAACGGGACCATAGCATCTCCCTTTATTTTATGGGAATTAAAAAAAAAAGTATTATGGTGCTCCCGTTACAGAATCATTTCGTCGGGTTTGTAATCATTAGATCAATTATCTTTGACGGCTATACGATGATCTAACTGTTACAAACCTCGACCGAATGATTCCGTAATGTATCTTAGCATTTCTTATAAAAGAAAATTGATACTTTGTACCCATAAAAGAAAATTATTACTTTTTTGTAAAAGAGAATAATTTTGTTTCAAATAAGGGTAAATCACATCAAAAGCTTACTTCTACCTTCATTACCTACATTGACAAATTGAAGCATACAAATATACAATCTAACAAATCGACCATGGAGGCTTATTTATTTGATATGTATATGGAAATAATGAGATGTCAAAATTGAAAAAATAAATGTAAAGTAAGTCTCACTTTATAAAAAGTTGGAGCTACTAAAAGCATAATTTGTAATATTTGTATTTGGAGAATCCTAAATTTCCATTGGAGGTGCTCTTAATCGAGATCAATAGTAAATGTCAACGTATTTAAACATTACATCGGCAAGGAGAATAAAAATCAATGGACTTTTGAATTTATAGATGTGAAATAGAATATCTTATTCCCCTCTCTATGTTAAATGACAAGATGTTCATAGCCATATTAGTCCGATTTAATGAGCACATGCTTCAATTTGTAAAAATTAAGAATGATCATATCTTTTACTACAAAAATGGGAAGATTGAGTTGAAAAACAGGACATGTGGGATTTACTCCATCTCATGGTTATATGGAATCAGGAGCAAATCCGGTTCAACGAGTACACAAGCAAGCGTTTGGACTAAAAGAGCTCGGAAAGACAAGCTTACGCTCCGAAATGCTAGGAGCTCTCCAGAATTCATTATGATTCATGGAGGACTCATGCAGGCTTTGGCTGGATCCCATAGGCATTGAGTTCCGACCTGATGGTGACCATCACAAAGCGACGCCCTATGTGACAGATGAATATGGGGTATCACGTATTTAATTTGCAATAATCATCGTTAACGGCCGTCATTTGTGCACGATGATTTGGTGCTAGAAAACTAGCGATTTTGAGATTTCTTATTGCTTGAGTCTTCCAAACGATGTGTACAAGAGTTTTAAAGAAGAAAAATATCAGATATTGCAATCCTAAGAAACAACAAATTAACAAAGCAAAGCTAAATAATATTATTATCGTTGCTTGGTCCCTATCTCTAGGACGTACCTACGCCTTGTTCATATTTGTTGTTGTCCGGGATCTCTTCTGCATGCCCGCCGATCACATTCACATGCCCCGCAAACCTGATGCACGTATTTCTATGGCTGCTGCTCGACGTTGCGTGTCGCCACTGCCGTTGTTGTGCATACCTGCTGCTGTTCGGGCACCCAGTTGTGCGCCGTGATTGATCGCATCCCTCGCGTTCGTGTGTATGGTTATCTCGCCTCCTTCATACGAGCACGTCGAGCTCACTTATAAGTATTCTTGACAAGTCGGCCCTCGGTTGTATCATGCCAGTCCACTTAATCCTTGCCCTCAAGGGTAGAGTTTTGAAATTGGTTGCAGATATCTTGCAAATTCTACCAAGTCACCTCCTCACCCGACAATTCCTCCCACTCGATTAGAACTTCCAAACGGAAGCGTCAAACCCTCTTTATTCTTCGATAATTTAATGTCTAGCTAGGTCGTATAGTGAGTTGTACCTCTCGACTTACCGTCAGCAATCGAGTTTGGACCTCATGATCATCACCTAAGCTCATTTTTCATTGCGAGACATGGATAACCGGATGAATTTGAGAATCCACATGCAATTCGAGCTTGTACGCCACCTCGCCTATTCTCTCTATTACCTGATATGGTTCATAATAACAACTTCCTAGCTTATATAATGCCTTCTGTGAAATGGTCTGTTGACTGTGCGGTCGTAGCTTAAAATAAACTCGGTTACCTGGCTTAAATTTCTCCCTTCGACGCCCTTTGTTATTTTACTCTATGCGATTAAGAGCATGCTTGGATATATATTTTTTTTTTTTTTTTGCTTTGATTGGATTTTTGGTTTGAGTTGGTTAAATTTGAAAAAGTTGGTATGATTAGTTTTTAGTGGGTATAATAAAATAATATTTAAAATAAAATAATTAAAATTAAATTGATGTAAAAGTAGGAGAGAAAAGATGTGATGTGATGGTTAGTTAAAATTATGTGAGTAAATGAATAGTGAATTAAGGTTGATGTTGTGTATAAGAATGATTGATTGATATTATTTAATTGTCTTGATAATATTGATGATAGTGGGGTTGAGTTAAAAAAAGTAGTTGAGTTAAAAATGATTGGAATTTTTTGATTGAATTTGTATCCAAACATGCTCTAAGCGATCCGAATAAATTATTCTGGAGTTCTCTGGTCATTAGATCTCGTTTCATTAACTCACGATCAACCTCGACATTCGGAGATTTGCCCATAAAATAACTGAATAGAATGGGAGTTGCTCGTCCATACACCAACTCAAAAGGAGTCAACTTGGTAGATACATTAAAAGTAGTATTGTACCGAAATTCGCTCTAAGGCAAAAATCCTTCCCACTTTGTTAGAAGTTGGTGAACAAAACATCTAAGGTACTGTTCAAGCATACGATTAGTGTTGAAGATGTGGCTATGGACAGCTGTACAACACGTGCATCACCAGCCATGCATCTCTTTCCTTGTCTCATTTAAAATCGTGTTTCTTTTGTTTTAAGCGTGTTGCATTTTTAGTTAATAAACATATGCCCAAAATGTGTCGTATGCATTAGGGGAGCAATTTTTCCTTTTCAGCAGGATATAAATGTAACCCTTAGCTCATTTTGGATTTCGAATCAGTTGAATGAAATTAGCATTTCCGATACTTTTAGCTTGTTCAAATTCTTCATGGTATCCAAAGCCTATTGAATTTTGATTACAATCTATGGCGGGAAACAGACAACACAATGAGGCGTGGCCACTACTGAATGCTCGTACAAATCAGGCGAGCGAGGATGATCATTTGTTCTTGCACGGATCCGACCACCCTGGGCTGCAGTTGGTGTCTCATCCGCTAACCGGCTTGAATTTCCTCGCATGGAAGTGATCGATGATGATTGTGCTTGGAGCGAAGACAAAACTCGACTTCATTGATGGATCGATGCAACCTCTGAAAACAGGAGATGCGGATTACGTGAAATGGAAGAAGGTCGACTGGATGGTAATTTCCTGGATTTTAAACTCACTTTCGAAAGATGTTGTTGATGTGTTCATTTATGTTGAATCTGCGAAGTCTTTGTAAGAAGAAATCTGTCAACGTTTCGGTGAAAGTAACAGTCCTTTGATTTATCAATTGCAACGTGATATCTGTAATCTGAAGCAAGGTGGTAATTCTGTGATGATATACTTTAATAAGCTGAAGAAAAAGTGGGATGAATATAACTCTCTAGTTCCTCAGATCATCTGCAAGTGTGAGGGTGGAAAACTTTTAGAGGAGCAGAACATGCAAAACAAGCTTATGCAGTTTTTGATGGGCTTAAATGATGGTTATGACCACGTCAAAAATCAAATGTTGATGATGGATCCTCTTCCCACAGTAAATAAGGCATACTCGATGATTCTGTCAACAGAAATACAGAGATCTATTCATGTTGCAATGGAAGATGTAACACCTAATATGGCTATGGCTTTCAAGTCCAATTATCAAGGGAAAACCGGTAACATAAGGCCTCAGAATATTCAATTTGGGGCAATGAAAGGAAAGGCTGGATTCAGACCATCCAAGGAAGAGAGGGCTAAAATGGTGTGTGAGAATTGTGGATGGAAGGGACATGAGAAATCCATTTGTTTCAAATTACATGGCTATCCGGACTAGTTTAATGAGTTGAAAGATAAGAGAGGACAAGGTGTGGTTAATGCTGTGGAAGTAGTTGAAGGGAAGGTTAACTCACAGAGTTCTATCTTGAGTGCAAGGCCTGACATTACAGCCCTAGCACAAGAGGTGGCAAAGCTGTTGGGAAAACAAGGGAGAGAAGACCAACAGCTTGTAAATTTTGTAGGAGAGGAGGGAGATGATCTCTCTCACTATGCTTTGTCCATGTATGAAGGATTGAGTGGTGAAACTTGGGTAATGGACACTGGAGCAAGTAGACACATGTGCAATGATAAGAGGTTTCTGAAAAATTTGGTAAACCTGAAGTCTCCACAATATATCTTCCTGATGGGAGTGAAAAACAAGTGGTGATGGTTGGAGAAGTAAAGCTTTCAAGTAAGTTGGTTCTGCAGGAAGTGTTATATGTGCCATCCTTTCAGTATAATCTTCTCTCGGTTACACAAATATGTAAAGCCTCAAGACTGAAATGTACTTTCACATCAGAGAGATGTATTTTTGAGAATGTACAAACAAGAGAGACATTGGCTCATGGAGTATTGAAGGG